AAGATTCACCTCAAAAACTTATGAGGCCCTTCCTCTAGCGCCAAACTGTCGTTATGTGTGAATTAACAAGGATTAATTAGAGTAAGTTGTATCAGTTATCAAAGAAGTTCTTGTCTTTACAAAATAGTAAAACGTGTTCTATTAAATGAGAAAGTACTTATTTCATGTCCTCCCTTTCGGAAGCTTCTCTAAGCTGTTTTTATAGTACAGTTCAAGATCATTGAAACTATGATACTTCTCAAAGAAAAGTCAATGGCGGCTGATCGCCAGTCATTCTTGTAACACGCCACTTGGCAAAGCGTAATGATGATTTGCTGAATTGGCACCGCCTCGTGATGTTGGTTCGTCATGTCATAGATATCGGTTCGCTAGGCCATAACCGATATGAGATGTCGGTTTTTTGACAACGACTTCGGTTCTTGGCTCATTCTTATCCGACTTGTGGTTACTTGAAATTCGTGAGTATATCAACTTCTGAAATAGCATAATCTTCTAATTACTGAGCTTCTGGTGCCAATAATTACTAATTATTTGATTTTAGCGAAAACCATGTCAACAAAAACCTATGAGGGAAAGAATAATGTAATATCGAATGATTATATTGCATTTATTAAAGTATATGAAGTTCACATTGGAATGATGAAAGACAATCGTGTCAACTTCCATCAAGCTATGTAAAATTTTTATTTTCAAAAATGGATGGATGACATCAATGAAGATGTTAAGTTCATTGGGTGACAATGTCGTATAAAAAATTATTTGAAGTCTAGATTGTGTGAAAACCATTTAGTGCAATGGACACTTACAATCAATGTTATCAAAACCGATCTGGTCCGTCCAGTTTGATCAGGAATCGGACCTAGTACCAATCCGGTTTGAATGTTAAACCGCTGGGAGCAAGAACCAGCCTTGAACGTCCAAACTGGTTCAAAATCAATAAAATCGATGAACCGGTACCGGTTGGGCCGGTCCAGCAGTTCTAAAATTTGAACAGCCTAATATTAAAAAAAATCTTAATGAATTAAAAAAAATAATACAAAAGGTAAAGCGTGAGAGAAAAAAAGTCGACTCTTCCAAAATTCTAAAATAAAAAAAATCCCAAACAAAATGCAAAACCCTATCTCTACATCTCTGCCTCCATGCACCTCCGTCACCGGCCCGCAACTCCGGTCAGTGCTCATCCAAAATTCGTCGTGCGGTCGCATCTCCATTCTTGAACACCTCCGCAACTCCGATAGTACCTCATTTCTTCCGATTGTGAACACTTCGCAACTCCGACCACATTTTCTGCATTTGTAAACCATCTCTCCGACGACAAGTTGGTCGCACCTCCGGTCGCGGCAAGTTGTTCCTCTCAGCCGACTTTTTTTTTTGCACCTCTCTGTTCACTGTTCGCTCGCCCAACTACAGCACTATCATTCAGCCCTGTTCGCAGCAAGATTGTATCAAGCAGCTTTCGTGGTCCGACCGACCAGCTCTACGTCACAGGATCAGAAGTATGGAGGGTTCAAATAATGAAATGATATCGACACAGTCTAGTCGTGAAAAATCTGATTGTGCTTGGGAATTTGTCAGTTTAATTCATGAGAATGGAAAGTCCACATACACTTGTTTGTTCTGTAAGAAAAAATTCAAAGGTGGGGGAATTCATTGAATGAACCATCATTTAGATGGAAAGGGCGAAATAGCTCCGTGTAAGGACGTGACACACGATGTTTAACCTCAGATGGCAGCACACTTGGATGAAGTAGAGAAAAACACAAAAAAAAATGATCCTAATTCTGATGATTATGAGGAAGCGAGCACGACAAATGCACCTGAAGAAGTGCGAGAAGTACCCAGTCTACCCCGACTGCCGGTAAAGGGAAGAGAAAAGTCGTTGTTGGTCTGTCGATAGATATTTTCGCCGAGGAAAACTCTAGGATCTCAACCAGGACTTGTGCTCGCAACCAAAGAGGCGGTAAAAAATTATAACATGGCTCTTGCTCGATGGTTCTACGCCAATTGCATTCCATTTAATGCGACCCAATCTTGTTATTTTCAGCCAGCTTTAGATACAATTTCTGCCATTGGACCTGGATTTAAAGGTCCTTCATATAATGATGTTAGGGTGAACTTGTTGGGAGATTGCAAAAACGAGTGTGAGCTTTTCGTTGAAAGTTATCGAAGCAATTGGATGAGCTCTGGGTGCACACGTATGGAAGATGGTTGGAGTGATAAGAGGAAAAGAACTTTGATTAACTTCCTGGTATATTGTCCTGTAAGTATGACATTCATTAAATCTGTTGATGCTTCAGACATGGTGAGTGATGCAAAAAATCTGTTCAATATGTATGTTGATGTTATTCAATGAATTGGGCCTGCATATATTGTGCATGTAGTGACTGATAACGCAGCAAATTATGTAGCAGCTGGAAAGTTGATTCACGATAAGTATGAAAACATGTTTGGTCCCCATGTGCAGCACATTATTTGAATATGATATTAAAGGACATCTCTTCATCACCTCATATAAGCCAACTTGCTTCTCGTGCTTCAAAGATTACTATCTTTGTCTATAATCATATGGTACTTATTTTGTGGCTTAGAAAAAGGCCTGGATGGAAGGATATAGTACGTCAAGGAGTTACTCGATTTGCTACGATCTTTATTACTTTAAAAAGCATTTGTGATCATAAAGAGCACTTGCAAGCTTTGGTGGTTGATAAACACTTTACTGGTCATAGATTAGCTAAAAGTGTTAATGGAAAAGTTTGTGAAACCTGGATGCTAAATTTTGGCGAGAATGTCAAATTGCGGTTAAGCTTGTAGGACCTCTTGTTAGACTGTTGCGAATTGTCGATGCGGACGAAAACCGTCTTTAGGGTATGTGTATGAAGGAGTGAAAAGGGCAAAGAATGGTATCAATTAGATGTTCGGAAAAAGAAAAAGTTTGTACAAGCCTTACACTAAAATTAAGGCTCGATGGGATAAACACATGCATCGTAGTATCCATGTTGCAACTTATTTTCTCAATCCTGTTTTCTTTTATGATGAAAGTTTCAGTGAGAAACATAGAGTGTTGAATAAATTACTTGATATATTGGACATCAAGAGCCTATATAATGATTCGATTAAAGCAATGAAAGAGATACAGTTACATAGAGAGCGCAAGGATAGTTTCGCTAGGCCATCTTGTTTACATGCTGCAAAATCACTTACACCATGTAAAATATCATTTATAATTGTATAATTCTTTTTAACGTGCATATTCTATAAATCATTTATTTATAATAAATTTTGTTCATATTTTATTATTGCAGATGGATGGTGGAGGTTGTTTGGCGGGAGTGCTCCCATATTAAAAAGTATTGTCATTCGCATCTTGAGTCAAACTTCCTCATCATCAGGATGTGAAGGAAACTGGAGTTTGTTTGATATGATCCACACCAAAAAAAAAGGAATAGACTGGAACATCAAAGGCTTTGTGATCATGTTCACATCACATACAACATGCGTTTGAAATATTGGTAAGTTAATATTATTATTTATTATTAATATGTATAAATTTTTTTTGTTGGCATTTGTAACATTTTGAACTTCTCTAAATTAAATATAATTTCTATATTATAGGAAGCATCAAAAGAAAAGATCTTATGATCCAATTGATTATGAAAACATTGACAAGCTTGATTTTTGGGTGGTGGATGAAGATCCACAACCAGAATTTTGATGAGAATGAAGTTGGAAACTTAATTTATGATGAACAAGCTATTTCAATTGTTGGTAAGTTGTTTGCTTACAAAAAAAATTATATCACGATTTGGTATATTTATTTTGAGCACTACTTCATGTTAATCTATGCTCCTTTTTTTTCATTTACGTAGATCGCAATGAAGTTAACATGGACATAAATATGCGTGATCCATCCAATTTGAACTTCGGTGATGGTGGAGATGATGAAAATGGGGAAGATGAAAAAATGATCTTTTTAGTTATGGTTATGTCGATGCTGCATTTGGAGGAGTTAGTGGAACTTATGATGATTCGGTCTAGTTTGTAACGGCTTTGAACTCGAACTACTTGAAACTCTTTTTTTCTCCTTTGTTGTAATGTTTGATTAGATGTATTTCGATGTTTGATGACTTTGTAGTTTGTACTTGTAATTTGGATTGCCTTGCTTTAGCTATTAATCTATTGTTTTAGTGAACTTAAATTAGTTTTGTTTATGGTACACTATACATAAAATATTGATTTATCAACTCTTATTTAGAAAAATATCACTATATGCTATAAAATTAATGATAAAAATATATAAAATTATATATTATACATATAAAATAAATAAATAAATTATATATTAGTTAAACCGGTTCGATCAGATCGACCACTGGTCCAACAAGTGAACCATTAAACCAGTAGCTTCGCCGGTTCGATGACGGGTCCGGTGTTCTGAACATTTCTTAAAACCAAGCGAGATAAAATATAGGACAATGTAGAAAGATTTGAAGCTCTCGTTGCAAAAGACTTTACACGAGATATCGACTATATGGAAGTTACTTCATATGGAAGTTAAAATATTGTTTCTCAATGGTGACACAGATATAAACAAAAAGGTAGCCTCAAAACTTTAAATTCGAAAACTTGATGAATATGGTTTCTTACTTAAGTAATAAATCCATATATAAGCTCAAACAAAAAGCTAGCCAATGAGATTTCGATTTTCAACCGGGCACTGTGATAATATCTCAACTTTTCCAAAGCTACAGTATGCAAATTTCACCCACGCTCAATAGCAAGCCATGCATTGTCATAATATCGCAGTACAACTTCAAAGTTTCATCAAGTATACTATCTTTTAGCTCTGGAGTCTCCTTTATCTTTACTTTACCCAAGTTCACAAATCGTGAAGCTCAGTAACCCCATCTAAGTACTCCATAATTAGAAGTCTCGACTAAAACGGAACTTTCAACGTTCATACTTTTAACAGCAACGAGATTCATGTGCATGAGTCATGATCCTCATCCATTGTTTGAGGATGAATCTGGTGATGCCACATCATCTTCTGAATCTTGCAAACTATTGTCTGAAGAGATTGTGCTCTCAACTCCATTCTCCAAATCATCATCAAGTGGCAAGAGAGGGATTGTATAAACTACTTGGGTGCCCGGATTATTATTACTATTATTGGCAATTGGATCAAATTGATCAGGGAGGCTCATTATTATATTCCTCTGATACGGCGCCTGGATGACCTCAAACTTGTGCTCCTCCGTGTGCTGCTGGTTAAATCGGCCGGGAAGCTTGGAGGAAGTATTGTAGCAGCTCTCACATAGATCGAACCCTATTTTCTCAACACAATCTTTGCATTTGTATCGTAGTCCGATAATGGGACACATCTGCAAGGAATCATGGTTAACTACAACAACACCACCAATATAATAATAATAATATAGGATATGTTATTCTTTAAAAAAACAATAACAAAGATAAAAGTTTATGTTTTAAAAGGAAAAAATAAACTAATGAGAAAATCAAAAGAGATGGAGGGAGATGATTTATTTGGAACTAACACAGTCTAAGCAGTTATTCAAAAGTATCAGACTTTTGACAAGTCATAATTTGAAAGCATGCACTAATGACAGCTGGCAAACTAGAGAACAAGAGAAGATGAAAGCATGGATGTACTACCCCACAGTAGTCGCAACCAGCATGAGGATGAAACTTAGTTCCACGGTCGGATAACTGAGATAAATCGTCGATTGTAAGTAAAGGCGGACACTGAGACTGCTCTTGCTTCTCCACCAAAGCTTTTGCAATGACATTAACAGAGAAGTCACAAACGCATTCAAATAAAACGCAAATGAAATGAGAGGTTAAACTAAATTCAACCCCCATCTGCATTGCATTAAATCAACTTCAGTCTTAATCAAACAGAAATAGAAGTCACAGATAACGTCTAGATTTAAAGCGTCCCAGCATATAGTTATAAGCTTATAACACAGCAGGATGCATGAAGCTCCAACAAATAAACAAAGCAGCCATATAAGAAGTTACCTGTATACTCTGATAGGAGTAAAGGATCAGATAATTAAAAAGGGGAATGGACACACAAATTTATTATAAATGAAAAGAGGAGAACAATGACAGAAGTATAAAACTTCCCAGCAAGATAACTTGCCCAATAGCCTAGCTATTAAGATTATTTCTACCCGATCTCATTCTCACTTCCTCACCCCCCTTTAATAAGACTATTACTATTATCTATATAAAGTAACAGGATATTAAATATAAGGTAAGATAACTAATTGATAGCTTTCCATTCTCTCCAGGAATCAATCTAAATCCCCTTATTCATGCCTCCCATATTGCATTACTGATTTTATTCTCATATCTTATTTATTCCTTTACAGCTTCCCCTTTCCTCGAGTAAACAATCCATTGTTTTTCAACCTTATTTTTGGCATCTCTATCATTACCACCCGCCAGAGAAATAGCCTATTCCACAAGGCTAGAATTAGAAAACTGCCCCTTGAAATCTGAGAGATCCAACCACGTGGCGTCATCACTGGTGCGTCCCTCCCATTGGACCAATACTTGTGGTGTGGTACCAGTAGTTGTGGTTAATTGACGAACCGCTAGTATGTCATATGGTGTGTAGCCGACCTCCTCCACTTGAAGCTCGTCAGGGATATCCTGGATAACAGGATGGTGACCCTTCACCGGCTTAAGTTGCGAAATATGAAATACCGGATGAACCTTCGAGGTAGATGGAAGCTGAAGCTTATAAGCAACCGCACTCGACTTTTGCAAAATCAAGAAAGGAACATAGTATCGAGGGGCTAACTTTTGGTTCAATCTGTTGAGAAGAGTGTTTTGCTTGTGAGGACGAAGCTTGTGAAGAACACTATCACCCACATTAAACTCCACGTCACGCCTTGTACGATTTGCAATTTTTGTCATGCGATGTTGAGCTTTCTCCAAATTGAAACGAAGCTGACGGAGTAACTCATTGCGATCAGAGTGAGCATCGGCCACTGCTGCCACCCGAAACTCACCAGGTAAATATTGTTGCAAGGTTGGAGGTGTCCTGCCATACACAATCTCAAAGGGAGTCCGTTGAGCAGCTCCCTGAAAAGACGTGTTGTACCAGTATTCTGCCCAATGAAGGCACTTGCCCCACTGTCGGGGTTGTTTGGAAGCAAAACAGCGAAGGTATTGCTCAAGACAACGGTTGAGCACTTCGGTTTGTCCGTCGGTTTGGGGATGATAAGCACTACTCATTTTAAGACTTGTCCCCATCTTGGCAAAGTACTCAGTCCAAAAGTGGCTTAAAAATATTGGGTCTTGGTCACTTACAATCGAATTGGGCACTCCGTGAAGGCGGACAATTTCCTTTGCAAAATGATCAGCTAGATATCTAGCAGTGAACGGATGTCGAAGTCCAAGAAAGTGGGCATATTTAGAAAACCTGTCAACCACCACCCAAATGCAGTCAAGCCCACTAGACCGTGGTAAACCCGTAATGAAGTCCATGGAAATGTCTTCCCAAACCGCCGTCGGAATAGGGAGAGGTTGGAGCAGGCCAGCTGGGGACAAGGTTTCATATTTGTTCTTCTGGCAAACTAGACATTCTGCTATGGACATGGCGCATCATACCTTTCCAATAAACACTTGCAGCAAGTCGACGATATGTGTGGTATGCACATGAATGCCCCCCCATTGGAGTGGAATGGAACTCCTCGAGGAGTCGAGAGGTCCAAGTTGAATTAGAAGGAAGCACAATACGACCCTTGTAGAAGAGGCGACCGTTGATCAATTTGTACGGAGAGCAGCTATCAGGATCTTTATGCAATCGGGCAATGAGTGGTTGAAGCGTTGAATCCTCCAAAATAGCCGACTCGAGAGCACCCCAATCAACCACACGGGGATGGATATAGCGGAAAGTTGCAAGTCATCGTGACTGCGGGACAAGGCATCTGCTACGCAATAGGTGGAGCCTGGCTTATAGACTACTTCAAAATCATAACCAAGTAATTTAGCAACCCAATTCTGTTGTGACGGAGTGGAGATACGCTGTTGTAATAAATAACGTAAACTTCGGTGGTCAGTCCGTACTATGAAACGACGACCTATGAGATACAGCCTCCAGTGTTGAATGGCCATCACAAGAGCCATTAATTCCTTTTCGTAGGTAGATTTGGTTAAAGTCTTCTCAGAGAGGGCCTTGCTGAAGAAGGCAATGGGGCGACGTTCTTGCAGCAGAACGGCTCCTACCCCAGTTCCCGATGCATCACATTCAATAATAAATGGTCTTGAGAAGTCTGGCATGGCCAAGACTGGGGAAGTGGTAACGGCATTCTTCAAAGCATCAAAAGCAGATTGTGCTGCCTCGGGCCATTGGAACGTAGCCACACAGTCCTTCTTTAAGAGTGTGGTGAGAGGATTGGCAATTGAGCAGTAGTGCCGAATAAATCGACGATAATAGCCAGTTAATCCCAAAATCCACGAACTGCTTTTAAGGATCGAGGTACCGGCCAACGGAGGACGCTGGAGACTTTGGCGAGGTCCATAGCCACCCCGGCATGAGAAACGATGTGGCCTAAATACTCCACTGAAGACTGACCAAATTGACATTTCTTCGGATTAGCTTTGAACTCATGAAACTGTAAGATATTCAAAACCACTGATAAATGTTTAAGATGTTCCTCCCAGCTCGGGCTGTAGACTAAAATGTCGTCAAAGAAAACCAACACAAAATGACGCAAGTGAGGGCGAAATATGCCATTCATAGTGGCTTGAAAGGTAGCAGGAGCATTGGTGAGACCGAAAGGCATGACGAGGAATTCATAGTGGCCAGAATGAGTACGGAAGGCTGTCTTTGAAATGTCCTCTGGCACTACTCGAATTTGATGGTATCCAGACCGAAGATCGATCTTGGAGAAATATAGGGAGCCATATAGTTCGTCGAGCATCTCTTGGATAACTGGAATGGGGTATTTATCTGTAACTTTTTTTAACTCACGATAATCGACGCAAAAACACCAGCTACCATCTTTTTTCTTCACGAGTAAAATCGGGCTAGATAAAGGGCTGACACTAGGTTGAATGACACCAGCTGCAAGCATTTCACCTACCAATCGTTCAATTTCGTCTTTTTGGGTGTGGCCATATCGACACGGCTTAACGCTAACTGGTGTTGTGCCCGGTTGTAGAATAATCTTGTGGTCATTGTGTCGAACCGGTGGCAGTCCCTCGGGTTCACCAAAGACTTGCGAGTAATCATCGAGTAGCTCCTCCAATTGAGCTGATTGGGGCCAGGAGGGGCAATGATGGCAGAGGTGTTGAGCTGAAATGATGATATGTCCATAAGGATGACAGCATACTCAACATCTTCCAAATATTCGACAGAAGGTGAGAAAGAGTCGGGTCTCCAGTCAAAGTGATGCACTGCCCATGGTCTTCAAATTCCATTGTCATTGTAGCCCAATTAGCGCGGATAGTGCCCAGAGATGCGAGCCAAGTAACCCCGAGAATTAAATCGACAGCACCCAAGGGAAAAGTGAAGCAATCAACGGTCATTGTAAGAGGCCCCAAATGAACTGGAAGTTTGGAAAATTTACGCGAACACCAAAACGGGGTGTGGCCTCCAAAGGTTGTTTGAGCTTGGTTGCCAAGTCAGATGAGATAAAATTATGACTTGCCCCGCTGTCAATCATAATAACCACATCATTGTGTTCTACCCGGCCGCGAAATTTCATTGTTTGGGGGCGGTCGATACCTCCAATAGAAGAGGGGCAGGTCCAACACGTGTAATGGGGCATCATCCATGGTATATACCCCAGGTGGGTTGTCGGTGTTAGTGTCCTCATCTTCTGCTGCGACTAAAGTCCGCAATGATTTATTTGAACAAACATGCATCGGGCTGTAGGGTTGTTTGCATCGGAAACAAAGTCCTTTCGCACGCAAGTCCTGGTATTCCTGGTGAGAATAACGCCGAATACCCTTTTGAACAATTGAAGTAGCCGAATCTCGCTGAAAAGATATACCAGCACCTGGAGGTTGAGAAGGTGGCATAAGAATATTTCCCTTCGTGGTTTTATGGAAATTGTTGGGCGTAGGAGTGGCGGGGTTTGTCTGATGATGTGTGCTTGGACTAGACAAGTTTGCATTGGCGGACGTTGGGCTTGGAGTCCAACCCAAACCGAAACCCGTACTCCACCTCTTCACTCCTGCAGATTGAATATTATGTTTGCAGATTGAATATTATGTTTGTCCTGGTGCAGGAAATCGAGTTCACGAGCAATGGAGCGCGCACCCGCATTGCTGTCCGTAAATCAGTAGCATCGTTTGGGCGAAAGCGAACACGGATCTCTTCCTTAAGCCCATTCAGAAACAACCTAACTGGATATGAGAGGGTATCCCAGAGATATGGGCAGCCCGAACATGAAACTCATTGCAATATTCATCCATCGTACCAACTTGACAGAGAGCAGCTAACAACTCAATTGGTGGGGCAGACAAATCGCCACCAAATTGCTCCATTAGTTCAGATTTGAGTTGCGACCATGTCAGCATGGGATGTTGTTGTAGCCATCTCATCCAATGAAGGGCAGGCCCTTCCATGCTAATAAAAGCAGTGGGAACTCGTAACTCGTCTCGCGTGCTGTGGATGGTAAAATATTGTTCAGCCCTAGACAACCAGCCAAGTGGGTCAGTTCCATCAAAATATGGGATCTCAGTTCGTTTGGTACCGAGGTGGACATCCTGTGGGGCGTGTGGTTTAGGGATGTTGATGTGATCGACTTGGGAGGTGTCGCTCCCTTCGCTGTTCGCTGTTATGCTTGACTGACAAAAATTGGTTGACCAACTCCGTAAGTTTGGAGATGGCTCCTCGACTTTATTGAGGCGTTGCTCGTGCACTTCCTGACCCTTCTCCGTGGCTTCGACTCGAGAGTCCATGCGTGTCATTCGTAGTGGCAGGTCGGACCAGTAAAGGATCAGATAATTAAAAAGGGGAATGGACACACAAATTTATTATAAATGAAAAGAGGAGAACAATGACAGAAGTATAAAACTTCCCAGCAAGATAACTTGCCCAA